ATTCCCAAAGCACAGACCTCAAACCTACTGAAAATTGTGTATTGTGTATTAATCTTTAAAGCCGTGTCTGTGGAAGGAAAACAGCCAGTTTAAGCAAGATCTCTATATAATTCCTGAGTCTAATTATCTGTAAGCCACTTTGCAACCTACCTTCACCCCAACTCTTTGTTTCATGCTGATGTCATGTCATTCTGACTTAATGTCTTATCTGATATTGTTCCCTGCATGAGGCTTTTCATGTAAGAACATTGACAAGCTCCCTCAACAGATGGGAAGAGAAAAAAAAAATCCTATTTTCTTCTCATCTCTTCACCATCAGTCCACCTACAGTGTTGTGTACTTAATTGAGATATATGGTTGCAATCCTCATAAGCAACAAAGCAACACAAACCAAGTCTAATGAAGAACAAAGTTTTAAGAATTATTTGCACAATACATATAATCCATACCATAATAAATGAAAAGCAGCTGGTGACAATTCTTAGATATACTCAAATCATTTGTTTTATTAGTATTTCTGTGTTATTTGTGTCCTTTCTTGCATATCAGACACACCTGGTCCTCAACAGGTGTGGTGACATTTAATGTTGTTTTTCCAGAAGTAACCTACTAATTACTGACCAGTCTGCACTCATTTTAACTTCCAACAGCTGTGAGTGTCTTTTGCACATCAGATTTACATAATTCTGTGCTAACAGGTTAACCTGAGCCACCAGTTTGAGTCTAGTGGTTTAATTTTATTTCACTAAGACAAGCAATCCAGCATAGTCAGCTTCTGTCAGCCTGAATCTATGGCTTATGTGACAAAATACCACATTATAGCAGAATGAGACACTAATGAGCAGACATGTGACTAAGCTCACAGTGGATGCATTTAAATGAAATAAAATTCTGTTCTGTGTCTGCCAACAGTTCAAGGAATGAATGATCTCAGTTTATAACAAAATTGTCACCACCTGCTGTTTTCTTTTTGGTTTTGGGGGATTTTTTGTTTTGTTTTTTTTTTACATCAAACCCATCATTTTGTGTGCTTGTGCTCCATTTTCACATGAGGTTGCATTAATTACATCTTCGGCAAAAAGTGTGAAGCCCACATATTGAGTATGAAACATCTTTAATTCGAGTGGGCATGTCCTTAACTTGGCTCTGTCAGCCAGCGTGAATCCCTCCATATTTCAATTGCAAGTATACAAATGATTTTTTATTGCATTCATTCAACTTTAGTAAAGTTGTAGAAAATGTGATTTATGGGGTTTACAGATGTATTGTTTCTGCACCATTTGTACAAAAATGTATCCAGACAGAGTAAACATTTCTGAAAAGATTATTTTGTGCAAAAGATTATATTGTGTAACCAATACTCACAATCCTAGTTAGTAAGTATTTATGAACACTGTGTTAAGAAATCAGTTACAATCAATGATCTCCAATCATATGAAATTTTACAGTCTGAATAATACCTTTCTTAAATGACATTATAGTATATATTCTATAGTATATTCACAATCCTTCGCAGTATGAATGGTAGTATAATGTCTGAGCCATCAGGTATGTCGCCTACCTGGTGACAAATCTCGTGGACTACCACCATGGTGAGTTCCATCTGATAGGATGAGGATGACACGTCTGCGTCCAACAGGATCTTCTGCTCCACGAAGACGCTCAGGCCCCAGTTCTCCATGGCGGCGTAGGGGTGTTTGGGCACAGCCAACAAGTCTGTAAACCAATCACGACAACAACAACACATTACGGCTTTTCAACAAATGTTGAATGTTTTCCTGCATTAATAAACTCTCAGCGAGATTCCACCACTTAAATAACAGGAGGCGATCGCTGTGACAGAATGACTGCTGGCATCGGCGCGGTTCCCATTTCGGGTTAAAATTAAACTCATGAGTCATTTTAACTATGTGCCAAAGGAGCCTTTCATCCACACAACATAGATATATGGATTTTTCAAGATATAACTCTACATATATCTGTATGAGAGAGAAGCAGTCCGAGAGAGAGATCAGCTGAGATGTAACAAAAACGAGTAAATGTAGAGAAATGTCCTTTGGGTGGGGAAACTTGGGTTGTTTTTCAGAAAAGGCATTTCTCTCCAGTGAATGAGTGACGGGTTCAGGTCTTAATTTAAATTTAAAATCACAAACTTCTGGCATTTCAGCTGCAGCGACCTTCGTCAGAGGATCACTTGCAGACAACAGGAGACATTATTATTTCCTCTGAGAACAAAATAATACCTCAGTCATAAAGAGGAGCAGAAATGAGCAAAGAATTACATGAAATTTACCAAAAGTATTCTCTTCATGAATTAAACAGTATTTCTTTGAGACACACAAGTAAAAAAAAAAAGGCACTACTGTAACTAAGACTTGCTTCCATTTTGAAGCCTCTCCAAACCAATTCATATCCGATTCTTTACCCGCCATTCCTGAACCCTGAGAAAATCAAATACCTGGGTGTCATCTAACGTGCTGCCTCTTTGGCGTTGATAGTGGGTACTCATTTTAACCCTTGTGGCTTGTAACTCATAGAGACCGGTCTTGAATTTTTTAAGGCAAATTTTCTACCTTAAAGTCACAATACAAAAGTTGATCTTTTAACATTTTAGGCTTCGGTCTCAGAGGCCTAGATACTCAGTTCGGGTTAGGATGACTCCCTGGCGACCGTTGGTTGCTAGTGAAATATCTATATTTCTCCATAAACTGGTGAGTTAGTTAGTTGTCCATTTTGAAGAACATCATTAAACAGAAGTGGTGTCTTATGGAACAAACTATCAGCCACAATGCAGACTCTAGATGCCTTCCCTTCCCCCGAGTCACACGTCACCTCAGGTTAGGTCACATGTGGGTAGGGCAAGATTTCATATTGGTTTCACTCTTAACCCACAGTGATAGTAATGACCCATAGCTTTTTTCATACTGTGGGCCACTACTGATTATAGTACCATATGATCAATGGTGAGCCAAAACCTTCAAAACCACCTCCAAAGGGGATAACCCCCACTAGGGGTTAAATATTTTCAACTTTTTGTCTGTAGAACCGAGGAAGCTTCTTGAACAGGACCCAAAACATCTTCACAAATCTAAAGATGTCCAGTTTTTTTCTAAACTCTGAGACAACCACCAGAATGGAAAATGGTGTTTGGAAACGTGTTGATTTCAATGTAAGATGCAACTTTTACTTTGATGGCAAGCAGTCTCTATTTCTCCTTTGATGATGATTTTTCACTTCCCACAGTTTTGTGAAAACTGTCTGGTGTGTCTTTGCAGTGTTTCCGTATTTTAGATAAAATAAGGAAAAGTATAATAGAGCCACTGTAATGGCATGTACTGTGGAAGAAAAGGCGGGGATCATATTTGTAATATGAAAATAAAACAGTCCAAACAAAAAGCAACAATCTGGCAAAAACAGAGAAACAGGACTGTAAAAACATAGAAAGAATTAAACTGAAGACAAGTGAAACTCATAAGGGTGAAGAGCACAATCGTAATCGCGGGAAGAAAGAAACAAGAAAAAGGAGGTAAATGCAGACAAATTCCTCACTTTGTCTACTCTAAGTGGAGAAGAGGAGGATATTAGAAGAGAGATTAGAGGAGGCAACAAACATCTAACAAAATGAAGAATTCATACTGCAGGGCTGTGAAAGCGATGTCGATTAAACATGACGTGTGACACAGATGCATCATCTGTCTGTTCTGTGTTACAGCCTTTTGCTCTACTTTGTTTTCTCTGTCAAACGAACCTAACACTGTTCATGACAAGTTATATATTTACTTTAAATTAATGCTGTGTCAAGAATATATAGCTATGATGAGTATTAAATCCCATATTCATCACATCAGCAAACAGCGACAGGTAGATAGTTTGACTGATCATCTTCTAACCAATACAAATTATGAAGACACATCGTTTACAGAGTCTTACTTCTTTCATGGTTCTTAAGACTTTTTCCTTATATTTATTTGTGGACCTTCTGTTGCCTTGCTTGTCCCTCCTCCTGACGGAGTATGCAGCAGTCAAAAACTGCAGTTACTCGAATGCCCACTAAAGGCCACCTCCAAAAGAGTCAATCTCCATAGACTTCCACGTTAAAATGTTCAAATGTAGAGCAGAAAACACTTGATTCAAGTTGTGTGTGTGCTTTCTTTTTTTAATTTATATTTTTTAATGCAACCCAGGTTTATAATTATGATCATGGTTGCTTTCATCAGCACCTGTAGTAAGCACCTGTCACTGAGCTGGACCTCTTAACATCTGACTTCTGGGTATTGGTTTAAATTTTTGTACTGCTTTGAGGTATCTATGTTACTATGGTACTATGGTGCGTTACTAATATTGATAGACCTCAGAGTATTCAAACGAAAGTTAATAACTGATCAAATAAATGTCCAGGGGAGTTTCAAGATAGTTTCCAACAGGTGATAACTGCTTCTAGGAGGACTCTGACATTTACAGTTCACCAAGACTTTTCCTTCTCATCCACATAGGGTCATTTCTGTCTCAAAAAACAAAAGAGAAAAAGTTTCTAAAACACAAATTCTGAAGCTACAAAATGCAGAATCCAGAATACAATGAGTGACATCACAGCATCTACATCCATCTTTCATATACAGAATATGTAACTATTCCCAGGGATTCTGAGGACAGATTTGATTTTTTTTTATTTAATTAAAACAATAAAAGATATTTTAATGAAATAAAAGGCTGAATCAATGTTTCCCTGCATTAAAAGCTTCAGGGAGCACCTTCTGCCTCAGTTTGCACCTTTTTGATGTAGTTCCATCACACGGACAGAAGTCACACTGTCAACAACACTTGAGCAAAACAGGACATCAGTGCTCTTCGGCAGCTGTCGCTCATCACGTGATCTGAGGGTTATTGCTGGTGCTCTCACTCGGAGGTAGCAGCACATGCACAGAGGCAAATGTTTGCACACACTCATGTGAAACCTGTTGTTGGAGCAGTTTCAGAGCTAGAAACACTCCTGCTGGGAGCTCTCACACATCCACACGTTCCCACTGCTATCTATCTGCTGGGTTTGTTGTGGACTGTCTGAGTGCCTTCCTCTGTAATCACAGCCCAAAGGACAAGGAACTCAACGTTGGTGGACTGCTTTAAGTGAAGCCAGATTACAGGTGTTTAAGTGTAATCTTATATTATGGTACCCGCAGTGACTTAGTGATATTCGATAAACTCTACAATCTGCAGCACATATTGTAAACAGCTTAAAGGATTACTTTATAAAGGGTTCTTTACCGAGTGGCCCAAATGCAATGTTGATTTAATCGCTGCTGCTCTCAGAGAGGTGTTACTGAGGCATGTGCAAACATTCCTGAGGATGCTTTAATGTCTCCCATGACCTCTTCAGTGCAATCTCCAACACCCTGATGTTGTTTTGAAGTGCTCATGCTAAAGATAAGCAAAGGGTTTTCAACCTGTACATGGATGTTTCTAATCAAGTACAAGCACCTGGTTATAAATGTCAGAGAGCTGAGGTATGACTACAGATTAGCAATGATAATATTTGGATAGCCTTGGGCACATTCACAAACCGACTCTTAGTGGGTTACTAACGCTGCGTGGGTGTTGCAAAACACGGAAGCTGTCTGTAGATAGTGTTTGGTATCAGCCCGGGGTGTAAAGTTAAGAGATATTTGAGGAAACACGCATAACAGAAGTTAACAGAAAAATAAAGAGGATTTAACGGGAGGCTGTTTGATGATACAATGCAAGTACTGCTTTCTCTTTGATGGATAGATTTATGTGGGAGAAATGGCCGGTTAATTCCATTAAAATGAATCCTTTAAAACACTGATCTGAGGATTTTTTTTCCTCTAAAGTAAATCCTAACATCTGCATATTTTCTGTGCTCCTTATCTTTGTTTTATGTATTATCCTACACTCACTCTGGGAAAACAATGGTTGGAGATCACGACGAGGCCAAATGTTGCAACCATGTACAACAAACAAAGACATTTCTCCACATAGTTAAAAAAAATTCTTAACCATGCATTTCAAAATATAAATATTTTATAAGCTTAATCACCTTTTTTAAAACCAAGAATTAAAAAAGAATGATGTTAGCTTCTGATTCGGTTATTCTGAGTACTCGTGGTGTACTTTTCACGTGTGTTATGTACAGCCACTCCTGCAAAAGCAAATAAGAGGCTCCACTGTTCTGTTTGAACAGTCATGAGGCTAATGGGAAGTCATTGCTGAAGATTTCAGGTTGGGGAAAAACAAATCTAGAAATTTCATGGTATCCAGTTCAGTAGTTAAGACATTTCTATCAGAACTAAAGTGACTCACTGAGTGTTGTTTTGAGTCCATTCCATGTAGCATTCCAAGTATTTTTATAATGTACTTCCCAAACTTTTTTATTTGTAGATATTTTACTGTTTTGGAAAGGGGGTTGAGAAAAATTTGTAAAATAAAATGAAGACAAGGTTTGTAGTTTGGTAATGAACTACGAACTGGTAAATGCATCGTTGGATAGGAGATCATAATCTGCTTTGGGTTTTTAGAGGCATGTTGGAGGTCACTGATCTAC